CACTTTAGTGATACACTGACTAAATACTCTTAATATAGCATTTTAGTTTGTATTTGTATATTTGACAACTCAAATTATTTCTCAGTTTAGGACATATTTGTCCTCTCTGTTACTTACTCACAGAGCTTTTTTTTTTCCTTTTTTTAATTACAGTCATGCAGCACTTTAACAAGGTGAAAGTGCAAATGGCTTGCACAATGGGATTCTGATGGCTATAAATGTGCTGAGAAAACTGACAGTGTGCATACTATGAACCATTTGTAGCTGTCTGATGAGTCGTTAAATGCAGACACCCATTTATTCCACCTATACATCCGAATATAACATTAAAAGTATGAAGAGGTTGCAGGTGCAGCAGAGTGTGATGATGATTATGGGTGCGATTCTATGATTATAAATGCTTCAAAATGAGGCGTCTGCTGTGAAAGTGATGTCACTGAGCATCAGTCTGGAGCCTCTGTGAAAGCTGTCCTACTTTCTTGATGCACACTTTAAATCCATCATGATATGCAGGAGATTCAATGCGATGCTCTTATGCTTTTGACACTTTATTCTGGTTCACTCAGAAGGAAATGAAGCTTGTGAAAAAAATAGAGATATTAGAAGACATGCAGAATTATTTCCACTTTTTCTATTTTTAGATCATTACTTTCACCATTTGGCCTCAGTCTTAGTAAGCCCTGCAATGAAACAAAGCAATGCTTGCATTCAGAGCTGCGGGGGATTTGTTTTCATCCAAAGTACGTCCAGCTTAGAGCATACAGTACTTGAAGAGAATGGGTTTGTGTCTGTTTTTTGTTGGCACTGAAAGAATCAAACTGTTACAAATCATTTGAAGCTGGTACTTTGGCTCTGACATACCCTTTTTTATACATCTAACACAGGTTCGGATTGGATGGATTTAATATAGTGTAATGTGATTAAATTAATGTCCATAATATAAAGTAAAGTGCAGTAGTACAAGATGATTCATAGGTGTCTTTTGTGACGTGGAAGATGGTATTTTCCACGTCATATTTTCATTAATATCTTTTTTTGGTGAAAAGGAAACTCCTGAGGCTGAGAAGATAAAACACAGATAGATGAGGACATATTTTTAGACCTCACTGAGTGAAAGCTTGCTAAATCATTTTTGACCAACAGTAAGGGGAGCCGACAAGCTCTGACTCAGTAATTGCATTCCTCTTTGGAATGTCTCTGGAAATCCATCATGCATTGTTTCTGTTAGTTCCCCTTTTCATCCCAGGATTCCAAGAACACTGAAATGTTAATGGAAACTGTTGGCACACATGCTACAGATGTTAACTTTCAAATTACTGGAGCTTTGCTATAGTCAGATAGCATCTACATTTTCTCTTGTACTTAATTGCAATCTGCTTTAAATTAATCATCTGATAACTAAGTAAAATGAACAAATGTACAATAAGTATCACAACCTCCAAGCTGTAATTTATAATGGATATTCTATATAAACTTTAAGCCCAGTGGACATGTGCATTGTGAAAGAAAGCAGCCATTACCCAAATCCACATGTCTGCTACTCCCTGTGCAGCACTTCTTAGCACTCTAAGAGTATATCTCCTATCTTTTTGTAGGAGTCTTTGCTTTGCAAGTTTAACGTTTTAGATAACTCACAACAGTGACGAGCAGCAAATGTAGCATCTAAAATGGTAGATGTTTTCCATGTTCTTTGTTGCTAGCTTAGCATACAAGAGGCATAGGGAAATGTGGTTAACCTGGCTTTGTCAACAATCTAATGCTCACTGAAACAGAAAAACAGCCCGCTGAAACACAAAAATCACACAAAAAGAAAAATCTGTCAAATGTATTTGCTATTTTCTGACATGTTAAGATTGGCATGCTCTTATAATGTAAGTTAGCTAAGCTGACTTAAACAACCTCTGTTTTCTATTGTGAATGACAATTTTAAGAGATGCAAATATGTTTGGAAAACAACCTATCAAAGGAGATTTG